TGGTTTTTCTCGAGCGTTGACTCAAATTGTAACCTCCTTGTTTCCCCACTTCATTTGCGGACTTTGAGAAAGACGTATCATTAAGTTTTCACCTCCTCTTCTCTCTCTATTTCTTACTCTATTGGATAAAGTGAGCTTTTCCTTAAATTGGTAACAGGTTTTTGGTCAACTTGGCCAATTGCAGTTCCCCTTTCCTCTTCGGACTACAGAAAGTTTTTCTTGCAGGTTTCTAATGCAATCGCATTCCAAGGGAGCTATAGAGAGATAGAGAGAGTGAGGAGTGGCATGAAGTGAAGTGAAGGAGTGGGGGTTGTTGTTGTTGTTATTGTTGTGAGTGTCACCACCTTGATAACGTACCCAATTCCGTTCCCATTTCTATTCCTGTTGCCGTTCCAGGCCATTGGACGGCATTCCAAGATCCAGTTCTACTTTTGAAAGAATTCTCTTCGATTTGACACTATTCCGATTCACTTAGAGTGCAGCTCGAAAGAGGCAAATCGGGACAAACGGAATTACAAAATAATTGGAGAAAGGAGCTATTAGAGAAGGGGCAAGGGGATTGGGATTTAGTAGGGAGGGAATGAAGAGGAAAAATACGAGTAAAGGCGAGAAATCAATTTGAAATTTTTAGATTTTCGCTACGCCCCTGAAAAGATACATTTTTTTGCTAATAAGTTTTTTAACCTTATCCAATAGCTGAACAAGAGCATCTTTTCTTATTATACCCGATACTCAAAATGAGTATTGGGGTATATTAGATTTGTGGTAAAAGTGGATGTGTGTAACGTCCAAAAGGAATCGTTTCCGACCCCATAAAGTATATATATTCTTGATCAGCATCAATAGCCGAGTCGATTGAGCCATGTCTGTCTGTCTGTCTGTCCGTCTGTCCGTCCCCTTCAGCGCCTAGTGCTCAAAGACTATAAGAGCTAGAGCAACGATGTTTTGGATCCAGAATTCTGTGATATGTCACTGCTACAAAAATATTTCAAAACTTTGCCCCGCCCACTTCCGCCCCCACAAGGGGCGAAAATCTGTGGCATCCACAATTTTAAAGATACGAGAAAACCAAAAACGCAGAATCGTAGAGAATGACCATATCTTTTAGACCGCAGAATCTGAATTGGATCGTATTATTATTATAGCCAGAATCACGAAAAAAATTTCATTTTTTCTCGCCCTGTCTCTCTCTAACACACACGTAGCATAGGCGGCTTTGCTTAGAGTAAAACATTAGCGCCTAGATCTCAGAGACTATAAAAGCTAAAGCAACCAAATTTGGTATCCATACTCCTAATATATCGGACCGAGACGAGTTTGTTTCAAAATTTCGCCACACCCCCTTCCGCCCACGCAAAGGATGCAAATCTGGGGATATTCACAAATCTCAGAGACTATTAAGGCTAGAGTAACCAAATTTGGTATCCGCACTTCTGTTAGATCTCACTATAAAACGTATATCTCAGAATTTCGCCCCACCCCCTTCCGCCCCCACAAAGGACGAAAATCTGTTGCATCCACAATATTGAGGATACGAGAAAACTAAAAACGCAGAATCATCTGGATCTGGATCAGATCAGATCATTTATACAGCCAAAACCAACAAATCAATTTGCAGTGGCTACGCAGCGCCCGACGTCACGCACAGACTGATTTTCTGTCTCTCTCGCACGCAATCTTTGTCGTTTCGTTTAATATTAGCGGCGTCTGCCGGAGGAGAGCCATACTGAGTTAGTATCGGGTATAACTGTAGAGTTGCGGTGTCCGTAGCAACTCACAACGTTCCCCCTCGTTTTTGGTTTGGTTTTTGTTAAATTTATTATTAGGCCATCCGATGGTGCATAAGTATATTTACATAAGTAATCATACTATAACCTCCCTTTGCATCTTATATTGGATACATATATTGAATATACATATGTATGAACACTACTCTATTATTTATGTATCTGGAAATGCATCACATATATACCAAATATATACATAGGATTTTACACATGAGCATTCCTTCAAAATGTTATACATACACTACTGGCCAAAATAATAAGTACATCGGTGTCGTGCTAGTTTGTTATGGGATAGCTCGAATGTTTGTAAGTGTATGGATGCCAATTGTTTATATTTGGAAAGGTTACAGTCTTGCCAATTATTTAAATCAAAAATTAAAGTGGGGAACCATCTTAATAAAATTCTATTCATACATTTTTGCAGAATGGGCATTTTTGGTCTGGCCAAAATAATAAGTACACTGGTGTTATTTATATATTTGAAAGGATTGGATAAGGATTTGGTCAAAGGATTGTTGTTTTTTATTAAGTTCCTTCATATTTAAGTACATGAGAGTCAAAAAAAATTCTTTAGATAGGCCGTACTCCTGAAGAAAGGAAGTTTTCCATAAGTCTTCAAAAAGAAAGGAAAATTCTCCGGGAAAATGGCGAAAAGTCTTGGACGATCGGTATTTTTGGTTCAGAATACTTTCAAATCTAAAGTGCTTATTGAAAATCGAGGATGGAAGAAGAAATCTTTACGAACAACGGACACCCGCATCATCAGTCTTGCAAAAAAGGATCAGTTCATGTCTTCCAAGGCCAAATACGCTCAAATTGGGAAAGAAAAATCAGGTCTGATGGTTCGTCGGAGACTTCAATATATAGACCTAACAGGACGTATAGTTCGAAAAGTTCCCTTACTCCGAGCAAAAATTTTGAAGATGATGCAAAAAGTCGTTGAAAATCATTTGGCATGGTCTGGGTCAGATGGGTCTTAGAAGTGGAAAAATTTGAATTTTTAATTATGTTTACTAGAAAAGTTTTATAGGACGTGAAAGAAAGCTCATAAGCGTGTACTTATTATTTTGGCCAGTAGTGTATGTATGTATGTACATACTTATGAATGATGTTAAAAAAAAATGATCGCTTCTTTTATAAACTATGCTTTAGAAATACTTACATTTAAAGGTTATGTTTCAGCAAAAGCTCTATAACATTACTATTTTGAGTAATTTTAAAGTGATTTCAATTTTTTCAAGTCGGTTTATGTTTGCACTCCCCAAAGTAAAAGTAAAAACCCCAAATGTAATGGTGAACGAGGGGGAACGTTGTGAGTTGCTGCGTACACCGCAACTCTACAGTTATACCCGATACTAAGTCAGTATGGCTCTCCTCCGGCAGACGCCGCTAATATTAAACGAAACGACAAAGAGTGCGTGCGAGAGAGACAGAAAATCAGTCTGTGCGTGACGTCGGGCGCTGCGTAGCCACTGCAAATTGATTTGTTGGTTTTGGCTATAAAAATTATCTGATCTGATCCAGACTCAGCAATCTGATAGATATGGTCATTCTCTATGATTCTGCGTTTTTAGTTTTCTCGAATCTGCAATATTGTGGATGCAACAGATTCTCGTCCCTTGTGGGGGCGGAAGGGGGTGGGGCGAAATTCTGAGATATACGTTTTATAGTGAGATCTAACAGAAGTGCGGATACCAAATTTGGTTACTCTAGCCTTAATAGTCTCTGAGATTTGTGGTTGCCCCAGATTTTCGTCCTTTGCGGGGGCGGAAGGGGGTGCGGCGAAATTTTGACACAAAACGGTCAAGGTCCGATATCACAGGAGTGTGGATACCAAATTTGGTTGCTCTAGCTCTTATGGGTTCTGAGATCCTTGAACTCATATTTTGCAATTGGCAAAACCGACCATGAAACCTGTGTATTAGAGTGAGACAGAGCGAGAAAGAGTGAAATTGTTTTCGTGATTCTGGCTATAATAATTATACGATCTGGCTCAGATTTTGCACTCTGTAAGATATAGTCATCTTCTACGGTTCTGCGTTTTTAGTTTTCTCGTATCGTCGAAATTGTGGATGCCACAGATTTTCGCCCTTTGTGGGGGCGGAAGTGGGCGGGGCAAAGTATTGAAATATTTTTGTAACAGTGACATATCACAGAAGTCTGGATCTAAAACATCGTTGCTCTAGCTCTTATAGTCTTTGAGCATTAGGCGCTGAAGGGGACGGACAGACGCACAGACAGACATGGCTCAATCGACTCGGCTATGATGCTGATCAAGAATATATTTATATTCTTTATGGGGTCGGAAACGATTCCTTCTGGACGTTACACACATCCACTTTCACCACAAATCTAATATACCCCAATACTCATTTTGAGTAAAATCTTCATGGTTATAAATTGAAATTCTAAGAGACCCCGAAAAGATCCTGGTCTATCGGAGAAAAATGTGCCCTAGATTATGCTAGTTTCTGTGGAGCATGCAACATGGAAGCCCCATAACATAATTGATCGTACTCCGTGTTTGATAGCTAGAACTGCTTTAAATATTACTTTTAGTTGTCTTTTTCGTTCTTCTCAACCTTTCCTTCAAATAATGCGGCATCCACACCTTGTTTTCGCACAAATTTGGTTGATGCAGGCAGGCAGGTTGATTCAATCATTGCCATGGGGCTGAGGAAGAGGCGTTCAGACTGGTCCCCTGCGAGAAGCACAGTCGAAACTGTAAAACCAGTTGGGATGTGGAGGTCCTAAGTGGATGGAGATCATTTGACATTTTCTCGCCTTCCACACGCGAAAGGCCAAAGCTACTCAAGCTCTAAAGAGGGGGAAAAGAAGAGTCGACTGGCACACGCACGAGCAGCAGAGACTTTGGTTCGTCAAAAGTTAGCCAGTGGAACGTAGAGAGAGGAGACGAAGCACAAGCACGATCGGCCGAGGTTCGGCCAAAGGTAAATAGTGAGCTTCAAGGGAGGGGTGTGGGGCCGCACGCACGTAACAGCAAAGACTGGGCTTTGGGCCCAAGCAACTCATGGAGTGACGACTGGGTGGCTGGGGGACTGGGGGACTGGGGGACAGCTAAGACTTCGGCTCGTATTCGTTTTCGCTTCGTTCGTTCGATCGCTGCCACAACGACAACGACAACGACAACGACTGCGACTGAGGCGAGCCAAAACCGCACTTGCCAGTCTTCGGTTCGGGCTCAGTCCAGTCGCAGTCAGAGAAAAAGGTGCAGGCGCAGCCATAAACGAAAACGCAGACAGACAGCGAGACACACAGAGTCTCTGTCGCCCGCTCAAGAGTTTCCGACAAACAGCTCGAGTCGCGAATGTAGTATTGCTTTTGGCCCAAACTGTGCGTGAAATTGGTAGACCAAATCGAAAACGAAAACTGAAATCGAAATTAAAACCTCCAACCCAAGACCGAAGGCACAATATTAAAACAGAAACCGAAGAGCCGCAATTCAAAAGCAGCTCCCAGGCGGCCCTTTTTAGACACATTTGATTTTTTTTCCTGTTAAATTTTTTACTGTGTTTAATATTTAGTTAATAAATTTGTATTTGATTCCATTCGTTTTAGAAAAAAAATAAAAAAAACAACGAATTTGAATTTAACATTTGATCTAGCTGAAAAGGTGAGCAGCTCCAAACCAAAAATATTTTTAATTAAGTACGTATGCATTTATGACGAGTATTTATTGGCCTAAAACTGGTCCCAACTGGGTGTGAACAGGGTATAAACTGGTCTAGGAGTTTGGCTCAATGTCAACGTTTGTATTTCAAGCTATTTATCCATCGATTTTTTCCCCACTTATCGATTTCAAGCACCGCAAGCCCTATACTGATGGCCCCCTGTCCATTGTTTTATCATCTGAATTTGTTAAGTATATGCTCTCCTCGTATCTGAGGAATACCATAGAGATCTCACTCGTGGCGAATCGCTCGCAAAGCTATCAATCTCCATTTAAGTAACAGCATCAGCAGCCAAATATAATTATGCAAAAAAGCAACTACATTCTTTGGGACAGTTCTTGAAGTCTTGGGAATGTGAATGGACTACAGAATGGTAAGCCGAGTGGAATGACATTGATTGGAGCGTATTGGACATTTTGTACCAGTATCTACCAGTCTTGGGAACGTCAGTGAGAACGGGACCTGTCAGTCCTGTTCTATAGATCCCCATCTTCTCTGTCTCCTCGATCACGATCCCAACCCCGATCCCTATACCGTTTCCGCACTCTCTTCCCCTGTCATCCTTTGTTTACTTATGTAATTTATGATTTTCCATTTACTCAACCGATTCCCGGTGGTTCACTCTCATCTGAAATTCCACGCATGCACACATGACCCACAACGACAAAAAAACCTTTTAAGGTCATTGTTCAAAACGTTTAAGATTCAGAAACAGATTCAGTCGCAGACTCAGTTTCAGCTTCAGACTGGGTTTGTTTGTCTTAAGACGACTGATGTCTCTTGTCAGACCGACTATGGAATGAGTTTCGGGTTGGGTTTCACAGAGAGAGATTGCTCTGGCTCTGAGTCGGGGGAGCTGGCTGGGCTTCTGATTTAGACATCAAAAACATCTTCACGCCCGAGTCTTTTCGCTCTTTGGTCTGGCTCTTGACTTCACTTAAATTGACTTGACTCGTCTCGACTTGGCGTGACTCCACGTGACTTTATGCGAGCTAATTGAAAGCCAAGAAATACTTTAGCCAATGTTCTGGAAACGAGTTACTCAGCTAACTGAATAGGTCAGTCAATGGTGTGACGGAAGATGAAGGATTGTTGGCTTTGAGGGTTGCATACGATCTCCTTATGTTCCTAATGCTGATATGTACATATAGATCATCGTATGTGGAAGATCATCATTCTTGGAAGTATTTGGCCGAGATTTTGGAGAAAACAGTACATCCTCCTCTCATTTATACACAAAGCCACGGGGCCAGCACTTTATCCGTCCCGCCCAACTCCACAGACTCTCTCAGAAGTGCGTCGACGATATGTTCTCAGTTTCTGCTACATCCCTCAAATTAGTTTGTAGTATTTTCTGTTTTCTATGTAGGTTTTCTATGTCTCATGCTTAGGCGAAAAGAATTTGGTGGGGAACAGGTGAGTGAAGACATCAGATCTGTTGGTAGTGCCTAGACTGCAGAAACAGAGAGCGAATACTTATATATGCACATAACATATCCCAGCAGTACTGGGAACTAGTTCGGAGGTGGTGATATCACCACTCCCTAACAGACCAGGGGTACTTTCTTTACTAACCCTTAACAATGCTTTTCATCATTTCCATTTTTACCCGCAATGTCCTACGACATGGGGACCAGCGACACCACATCGTTTACCCCCGAACTAGTGATATGGGTACTCGTCTAGTAGCTAGTGAAATGAGTACCCATGTAGTAGCTAATGAAATGGGTACCCATGAAGTAGGTTATCAATCTTCATTTAATTTCATATTTAAATTTGTATTTTATTTTATACATATTTCATTTAAGTTTTTAAATTTACTAATTAAGGTCTGCTGTTCGCGGTGGTACTGTTTTTGAAAAAACGTTTTTTTTGCAGCTGTAGGGCTTTCCTAATCTGGACTTCAGCTGATCCAGTACCTACAGTTATGACATCTATAAATATAAAATACATATATATGTAATAGGAATACAAAAAAACCAAAAGCATATAAGCTTACCAATCAAAACTCTAAAGAAGTTCTTTAAATTTTTCAGTGTCACTTTCCATTTGTTTCATTTTCGTCGATTGTCTCTCCTATTTCGCGGCCTTCAACTTTTTCTATTTCACTGCACGACACTGTTTCTCCGCTAGCACGATTATGTTTGGCTGCATATTTGTCTTATATTTCTTTATTGAGCCTACGCAAATGCCGTTTGCTATACATTTGCTTTGAATAACTGTTTAAAATTGAATAATTATAATCACTTGGACAGCCGCACTGATTTGCTCAAACGCCAAACGCAAAGAACATTCTAGCAATGAAATGACCGAAAACAGAAAAGGGAAAGGAGAAGAGCAGATCAGCATAATTTTTAGCTACCTGCTCTCTTCATTTTCCTCTCATGCTTTTTCGTTTTTTCGTCTACTGGTGAGACGTTGCATCCCAACTGAACTAGTTCGGTGGCTGGTGCGCGGTGGGTTGTAGAGTATACAGAGCAACATTTTTTGTCTCTTCCTTGAGTGGTTCGGCGTTTGTTTACCATAGGGTAAGTCCGGAAAGTACCCATGTAGGAACCAGCCAAATCAGTAGTTCGGGCATGGTCAATCGCCACCGCCAGTACTAGAGGGATGTATGTATATACATACATACATACAGTTGAATTTGAAAACGTTCGATTTATGGAGGCTTCGATTTACAGAAAAAATTGTTTTTATACCCGATACTCAAAAAGAGTATGTGGGTATATAAGATTTGTGGTGAAAGTGGATGTGTGTAACGTCCAGAAGGAAGCGTTTCCGACCCCATAAAGAATATAAATATATTCTTGATCAGCATCAATAGCCGAGTCGATTGAGCCATGTCTGTCTATCCGTCTGTCCGCCTGTCCGTCCCTAAGAGCACCTAATGCTCAGAGACTATAAAAGATAGAGCAACGACTTTTTGTTTCCAGACTTCTGTGAATTGTCACTGTTGAAAGAGTATTTCAAAATTTCACCCCGCCCCCTTCCGCGTCCACAAAAGACGAAAATCTGTGGCAACCACAATTTTGAAAATACGAGAAAACTAGTAACGCACTGTCATAGAGAATGACCATATCTTCCAGATTATCGAATCTGGATCAGATCGAATCATTATTATAACCAAAAGGAACAAATCAACCTGCAGTGGCCACGCAGCGCCCGACGACACGCTCTGACTGATTTTCTGTCTCTCTCGCACACACTCTTGTCGTCCCCACAAGGGACGAAAATGTGTGGCATTCACAACTTTGAAGGTATAAGAAAACCAAAACCGCCGAATCGTAGAGAAAAACTGCATCTTGCAGATTTCCGAATCTGAATCATATATTATATTACGATAGCATAGCGGCATTTACCGCGGCTCCCAACGTTCAGCATCTCCAGAAAGTTCCGATTTTCAATAGCACATACATATGTAACTTGTGATTTCCCATAAAATTTCGACTTACAAAGTGCACGTGCCAGTATTTGCACTCGAATTAGGGAGAAATTCTACATTTGGAAGTTCGAGTTACGGAAGGACTGGATGTAATTTGCTGTATCTGATGTATCTTAATTTTTAGTCTATTCTGGTGGGTCACAGTCAAATGATTGCCATGCTTTGCCCATAGAGAAAGCGATTAAACGATCGAACTGTAGTCGGATTGATTTTTCCGCAGATTGGTGCTGCCCTCTATCGTCTGCCTGGCCGGGGACCAACGATCCTAGGACTAACAGCTAACGGCAAAAAAAAGTGCAATTTCAAAATGTTAAGAAATAAAAAAAACGAAAAGACAAAACGACAAACAACTTTGGACTTGGGTTGGGTTGGGGGACGGGGACGAGGACGGGGACGGACCCCTGTCCGCCATAATAATTGGCGGAAAGAGCCACGACAGCAACACCAACAGCCACAAATAGGACGCTTGAGTAGGTTCCATTGTTCGGAATCAATCGAGTCTAATCCAATCCAACTGAGGAATCTCAGTCCAATCCATTCCAATCCAATCACATGAAAACATTAGCATCACAAAGCCAAAAATAAAGCACAAAATAACCGACTGCAATCAAAATATCCACTACCACAAAAACGTACTGTGCTTTTTGAGGGGAACGTTAAAATTGGGAAAATTTATTAATTGAGAAAGCTCCTCCTTTTGCTACAGTTATCGTCACGAAAATCCGTCTCTGTGCTAACGCTTTTTCACGGAGTTAAAGTGAAAAGTCACCACGTTCATTTACAGCCCTTTCTGATCTCACTCATAATAATCAAAATCTCACTCAATAACGTCAATAGATCAGGATGGTCAGGTGGTCCTGACCTAAGAGCAAGGGTAGTCCCAGATTCGTTGTTGATCGATATTTTACGTGCGCCATTCGTTTATCGAATCGAAGTGGAAATCAAATTGGCCTCCGTGGAGCAGTCAAAGCAAAATGGGGAAAAACGCAGAGCGATGGCTACAAAAACAAACAATTAAGCATGTACGAAAAGAGAAATATACGTATGATTAAAATTCCCGGGACATACGCAGATCAGACCCCACACTCCGTCTTGACTTGTGTGTGCACTGTGCAGCCCACCTCCAAGAAAGGAAAGCGACCGGGGCTGAGCCAATGGATCGGCAACGAATATGGTTTCAAATATTTTTGCAATTATATTGAAAGTGTTTTCGATTTGTTTTGCTTACGTGACAGATCTGGTTGACAGGTGATAAGCCAATCCGCCTTACTAGTAGCCCGTGAAAATAGCTACATATTTCTATTGCTGCTGTTGATAATCATTCTTGATTAACGTTCAAGTCAGCAATGTTTGAGACGAGGTTGCTCAGTCAGAGTATGATAGATTAACGGTGGCTCGATTAGAAAATCGACAGCCGAATGCGACTTTTTGAGCTTAGTAGCTAAGTTATACACAAAGAATCTTAACGAAGAATGTATGTACATACATACATACATATAC